CGGGCCCCGGCCCCGCCGCCGTTTGGGGCCGTTGGTTCAGGGCTTTAACGGATTCTGCTCCGGGAGACCCGATTTTTAACGTGCTGTAACAGATGCGATGTTAAAAGGCTTTCTGTTCCCTTTAAATGATCCATGCCGGTGGGATTTTTTGGTGTGGAACCCATTTCTGTTTGATTTGCAGGTACTGCCAGGCCTTGAGGGCTTCAGTGGCGCTGGAGATGCAGTAAACCAGTGCATGAGGCTCAGAATTCAGTCTCTGCGTTTGGAAGCTTTAGACCCGAGTGTCAGCGTATTGAACGTTGGCGGTCGTGGCTTTCCAAAGGCCCTGGATATTTCAGGGCTGTAGAGCAGTAAAATGTTTGCCAAATTGAAGAAGAAGATCGCGGAGGAGGCGGCGGTGGCTCCCCGGCCCGGAGGAAATGCCCGCATGCCCAGGTCTGTCAGCAAGGAATCGATCACGTCTGTGGGAGCAGACTCCGGAGACGACTTTGTGAGTTACACCTTGCTTTGAAATCTCCTTTCTCTGACAGTATTTTTATTACGGTTTTGCAGACAAGCATTTAAAGTCTAGTGTGTGATTTGAAAACGTGATGTGGTGTCTTTGTAAGTGTATCTCCTAATGCATAAATGTATCATTAGCTTGAGTGAAATTAAATATTGAAGAGAAAAGGTTTGTTAAGCATAGTAGTTGCCAGGAGTCTTTCATTCCCACGTAAACAGTTTTCATTTTACCTCTGGGCTTCCTGGTAGTCTTCCTACCTGAGACATTGTATATGTCTCTGCTGAAAACGTGTCCAGTGTTGTTGCAGTCAAAACCACTTTAGTTCCTCTCTTTCCCGATAAAACATTGTTTAAACCAGCGGTGAAGTTCCAGGAGTGCATGGGTTAAGTGAGGCCCTGGAATGCTCTGGCTCCTCTGCCCTGCATGGCTGGCTGTCACATTGCTGAAAACCTGGATTAGGGCAGTGTCACCCCACTGCTGGAGCCAGCAGGACCCACTGCACAGCCAGCAGCAAGTCTCTGTTTGGTGTCTGCAGAGTGAAGAACTTATTTACACAGTTGGGCTTTAAGTAAATTTTTTTGAAGCTCAGCTGAAATTTCAGTTGTGTTAAGCAGGAGGTTGGAGCTCCTAATGTTTAAATACATGTTATAGTGAAAATATATTAGTCTTGTGTTTTTCTGAGGCTGTTTTTCCCTTTGCACTTAGGAAAGTCTCATGTAGAAATTCTTTTTGCCATCTTGCAAGTTTGTAGAACAGCAAACAAATAATGAATTGGCAAAACAAAATAATGAAACGGCAAAACAAATGGTCTTCAGAAAACCTCCAAGAGTTAGTTGTTTTATCAATATTCATTTAACTGCTCTTGCTGTTGACTTTTATGGAGCAAAACTCACCAGAGGACTCATAAGTTAGTTAAGTTTGGACACAGGTCCCAGCCCCAGCTCCTTCCCAAGCTCTGTGCTCTGGGGAGCAGGCAGCCTGGCACTATTGAGCCTTGCTGGTTTTCTCCTTCAGCATTTTTAACACATTCTGCTGTGCTAGTACAGTTTCCCCCTCTATGGGAAAAACAAGTGCTGTCCCTAGGCAGGAGAGTGTTTTATCCCAGACTGATGTATGGGAGGATCACTTTTTCTGAATTTTGTAAGTTACAGAGTGTTGCTTTTCTCCCAAGGCTTCTGATGGAAGCAGCTCCAGAGAGGATCTTTCATCCCAGTTGTTAAGAAGAAATGAACAAATTAGAAAACTGGAGGTGAAGCTATCTGGTATGTGCCCTGATATATACAAAACTTGTTACTATAGGAAATTTTTCCCTTGAATGTACATGGTTTAATTTATTAAAAGTCCATGGGGTTGGGGTCTTTTGAAGATTGATTTGTAGCAGCCCTGTTGATTGACAAGAAGGGACCATCCAGCATCATTAATTTTTTATGAAGGCAACTGATTTGCTGATTTCAACAATACATTTGTGTGATTGCTTGGAACAGCTGGGATAGCTTTCTGTCCCGTGTTTCAAACAGCATCTGTCCCCACTTGTGTGTATGGTTTGTTTCTGATAGGGTCTGAGCTTTCTGACAGTAACACAGTACAATCCTTAAAGAAGTGGGCTTGGGAATGAAGAAAAAACAAAGAATTCAACATAAAACAGTCCTGAGGGTTTTTTCTGTCTAATTCCTTGTTCTGTAAAGCTGCAGTGAAGGCTGGCACTGCTCCCCATCCCTGTTGTAGGGAAGAGACCAGGACTGGGCTGAACTGTGTTACACTGCTGCTTCCCAAAGCTCATGGGAGGCCTTGGAAAATTAGGGAAGGTTACAGCCAGATAAAGATTATTTTGATTATTTTATTTTGGAGACTTATTGGGCTTCAGTTCAAGAAAATATAGGCTTCAAAAATTATTTCACATGGAATTCAAAAGGCCCAAATGCTCGTCTGCTTGCACAAGGTAAACTTAAAAGTGCTGGCTGGGACTTAACACAAGAGAGGGAGGCTCTGGGTATCAGGAGTCTCATGCAGGCAGCCAGCCAGTGAGCAAATCCTCTTCTCCATTGTGCAGGAGCCTCTCCAGGGTGTGTGCACACTCTGTTTTGGTTCATATTCCCTCCTGTGGCAGTTCTGCTGAGCAAGGGTGAGGGCAGTGCTGTGGGAGTGCAGATGGGTGCAATGGCCATGAATGAACCCTTCCCTGCAGCCTGCAGTGCCAGACAGCTTTCCTGAGCAGAGGGAAATGTGTCACTGTTCTGGGATGAAGTGAAAAGGGAGGGACAGTTGTTGATTCTCTGGTTCTGCTCTTGTCTGTGTGACTGACACCCCTGGGACAGGCCCTTCTGTTTGTGCCAGCCCTGTGGACAGTACAGAGCTATTTGCTGTGTTCATTGTTGTGGTCACCCAATTCCTTAGCAGGAATGATTTTCTGATTGAGAAAATCATTGTCATTTGCCACTCATCCTTTTTTCTTTTCTTTTTTTTTTTTCCCCTTTCTTTTTTATTTTTGTGTTACCCTAAAAATGTCCTTCCCCAATGTCTGTCCATTCCTGGTCTGTTCTCCCTCCTCACACAAGATTATGCTGATCAGATCCGAAATCTGCAGAAGATAAAAGAGAAGCTTGAAAATGCATTAGAAAAGCATCAGGATTGTACGTATTTTTCTTTTTTTCCTTTTTCTTCAGTTCAGTTGAAAATTGTGGTTGGAAGGAAAGAGGTTTGCTAATGATTTCCTTTCAAACTGTGCACCTCTGTAGTGTGAGCAATTAGAACACAAGTTGTTACCTTATTTACAGCATAAAAAGCAGCAGCAGTGTGTTGAATGAGGTTGTTATTACACTCCTTCTGCTGAATTTGGGGCTCACATGCAGGAAAGACCTTTTGGAAACCTGCAGCTTTGTTCTAATCCAGCAAGGAGCAGTATCCCTGTCTGCTGTTAGCTTTGGCCCTTTGCCAGCCCGCAAGCAGCGTGAGGGAATGAGTAGCACAGTGCTAGTGCTACAGTCAAGATGGGGCTAATTACTTGCAGAAGAAGCTCTTTAAAGTTATAAATAACTTACAGGAAAGTGAGAAATAATTTTAAAAGATGAGTTTTTAATATAGCTGGTGGTTCTCTGTTGGTAGCCTCCATGAGGAAGTTTCAGGAGCAGAATGAAGCTCACCAGGCCAGTCGAGCCAAGATGGCTGAAGGAATGGCTTTGGCCTTGGAGAAGAAGGACAAGGTAAGAGAGCTTGAGCAGGACTTTAGACTCTCATGACCCTGATATTTTAAGCAGGTGTTACTATTAATTAAAATAATTGTTCAGCCCTCTGTGTGAGCGTGCCAGCGCTGAGGGAAGGAGTGAGTGCTGAGCTCAGTGCCAGGAATGGTGCAGAACTTGTCACTGCTCAGACTGGTTTTAACAAGAGCCCACAGAAATTCCTAATGAAAGGTTAAGCCTGTGCTTGGACGAGATTCAATGGCAGTAGGCTTGTTGTCACATTTATTTCACTTGCATAAAACTTACGTATTCAGGTAGCATGAATGATTCCTCAGCCTTTATTCAAGCGCTGGCTGTTACTGTGCTGCTGCTGATTATTTTTTAATCATTACCAAAGCTTAGTATCTGCTAGCAGTACAAATTCTTCTTTTTCTTTTTTTTTTTAACCATAATTGCTGTCCTTGAAAGTCTGCAAATAGATTTTGATATCTTTTTTTCTCCTTTCTTTCTTTCTTGTTCAGGAGTGGATGGAAAAACTCGCTCAGGTTGAAAAGGTAATTAACCTTGGATGTTTTTCTCAGGGGGTGTAGTGTAGCTCTGTGTGTATTTGCAAACACCATCCTGCACACTTGCAGCTCTATCAGAACTCGACTCTGTTCAGCCCTTTTTATTATTTGGTCTTTGTTCAGTGGGAGAGGCCAATCATATGGTTTTTGTTACCAGCCCAAACGCCTAGGGAGGTCTTTCTGGATTTATTTGGTTTATTTTTCAGCAGGGAAGTAAAGAACGAGGGGTTGTGATGGGAAAGTTGTCCATCTGTAAGGTGGAACATAGTCCATTTTTAAGAGTTCAGTTTAGATGGTCGTGACATTGTGATGAATTCAGATTTGTTGGTTTTTTCTTTGGAGTTTGGTAATTTTCACTGTGACATGAATCTGAAATGGTTTCTGATTCTATATGGAGCACCATCAGGAGCTGTATGGCTGCAAGACAAGATTTCTTTCCCAGAGAGTTTACCTGAACTCACATTAACTTGACATGAGCATACAGATATCCTTTGACTTCCTTTGGTTCTGTTCATTTATCAGGAGAAAAAAGTGCTTCAAACACAGTTACAAGAAATGAGGGAGCAGAGTTTGAACCTTTTCCAAAAACGAGATGAAATCGATGAACTGGAGGGCTTTCAGCAGCAGGAAATTGCCAAAGTTAAACACATGGTAAGAATATCTTCAACTTTTTATTTCCTAAAATTTTTACCAGGATATTAAGTTAGTGGTATCCCAGCATACATTTTTTTTGGCCTTTGTGCTTGTACACAGATTTGGTTAGCGTCAAAATCCCAACAGCAGGTACTGAACACAGTATTACATAGTCTGTTATCTCCCTTAATTCAGCCCCAGGCTGGTTTCAGTGCAAAGGTTTATCAGTGTTACTGGTCACTGTAATGCCCAAGATGACGCTCTAATGTTCAGCTTTTGAAAAAGGAAGAGTGTGTGAGCCGAGCGGAGCAGGAGCTGGAGGCGCGGGCGCAGGAGCTGGGCCGGGCGCGAGCGGAGCTGCAGGAGGCCAGGGCCGAGGCCTCGGCGCTCAGCAGGGACCTGCAGGACTTGCAGCAGCAGCTGCAGCAGCTGCAGGCTCACAGGTACGGAGCTGGGCGTCTCACAGCAGCAGTGGTTGTGTTTGCCCTCTGTTTTTACTTCATGCTCACTTCTGTCTCTTTGGAAGAGTTTCTATATGTAGTGAGCTGACTGAATTTTTGCCTCTGCTGTGGCCATGGGGATGTAAATGCCAAGCCAATGATAGTAATATTTTTTTTGTAAATGATTTCTTTTTTTCATAGTTTGAATGCTTAACTGTCACTTTTATTTGAAAATGTGTAATCAAGCAGTGATTTATGATGGTGACTGGTTTTAGGACAAGAAAATTTTGTTGATGTCCATATTCATAAGCAGCAGGATTATCTGCTATAGATTATTTTCCTGGAATGGTATGTCACTTGTTTTTATTCTCTTTCTATGAAGAGATGAACTAATGACAGCTGAGACAAATGCAGAAAATAAGATCACTGCTCTGGAGTTAAGAGAACAGGAGCTACAAACTGTCATACAGCAGCTTTCTGTAGACTTGCAAAATGTAAGTTTGAGCCAAGTGAGATTTGATTCAAAGAGCTCCATGTCTGCAGAAGTTAGATTAGATATCAGTTATGTGGTGTTGGAAATTTAAGTTTCAAAGTAAGTAATTTCTCAAAATGTTTAGGCTCGAGTGGCTGGTTCTGGTTGTGAGAAGAGACTGGAAATGTTACAAGTGGAGCATGAATCTCTGAAGGTGGAATATGAGCAGGAGAAGCAAAAGGTGAGGTGCTTTCAGATGCACGTGCTGCTCCTGGTGTGCACATTTGGGTAATGTACACCTTTGTGTAGTTGGAAGTTTGGTGTCCAGAAAGTGTTCTGGGGTAAAATTGTCTTTTTAAATAGGACTTTCCTTTCTATTGGCATTTCCAAAAGTCAAACCACAACAGATCAGCTGGAAGCTTCATTACAAAAAAGATTCTGTGATTTCTCATTCTCACAGATGACTTTTGAACTTGCTGAGAGAGATAGACATACAGAACAGCTGCAGGAAAAGGTGTCTTCCCTGGAAAAAAAGCTAGAAAGAAATCTGTCAGGAGATGAGCATGTGCAGGAGCTGCTCAAGGAGGTAATTACAGAGTTAAAGGCTGCTTGGAGGTACAGTATTTGTGAGTTTGTTTTGGGTTTTTAGGTCTTACATTACATCTCACCCATGCAGAGCAAGCTGCTGATGTCACACAGCACGTTTGTCCTGGCAGTGTGTTTTGGCACCCTGTGCTGGGCAGGACATGGGGGTGGCTGCACTGAGCCTGTTTGTGTAGGTCCTGCACAGATGTGTGTGCTGGCCTTTCTGCATTGTCTGTTTGGGCACTGCATCTGAGTGCTTAGAAGGAGGAGAGCAGCTTTCTGCCATCCCCACAGGGGGTGGAACAATTTGGGGGTTTTTCTAATTAATCCTCACAAGCACAGTGAATGCTTTTCCTTGTTCTCTGGCAAGGCATGGGGCAGGGAGGGGAACTGTTTGCACACAGGTGTGCAAACAGAATGTTGTATGCTCAAAACCTCAGCCTCAAGAGTGCTAAAGAACAGCTGGAAACAGAAACTTAGCTGTGGTTAATCCCCTTTCTCTCATTGCTTTTTGATCTCTTTCTCAAGCACTGATGCTCCTGCTCAGAGTCAGCCTGGAGCAATGTTTCCCCAGCTGGGTCTTGGGGATGTTTGCTTTTCTCTGGTCAGGGTGCCTACAGTCACATCACCCCTCTGTTGCTGTGACAAAAGAACTTAGCTTAGTAAACTCAAGGCAGTTTAAAGTTATCTAGAGATATTAAAACATTCTCTCCCATTTTAGTTTGACCTTATAAATTAAATAAAAAGGAAAATTTTTATTACCCCCACCAACTTATGTCTTTGTCCATCCTTGCTCATTTTCTTCACCTCAATGTAACTTTCAGAAAGCTGCTCTTGAGCAGAGGCTGGAGGAGAGCAGGCAGCAGATACTGACAGACAGGACACAGCACAGCCAGGCTCTGAACCAGCTGGAAACACAGGTGAGCAGTTTCTAATTTCACCACAGATTCCCACTCTTTTCGTCCTCTATGCCCTACTCCCCTCACTGCACTCCCTGCCCAAGGTGAGACTGCACATTTAATCACATTTAGTCTTGAAAGGAGAATAACTGATCAGTGTCTCTGGGTATCTCCCCACTTCATGGGTGGAGGAGGGCCTAGAGGTGAATGCAGAGGTTTTGTGCAGATCCTCCCTGTAGTAAGAAACAAATAACTCAGGTGCAAGCAGTGCTGTGGTGAAGAATTTCTAAAACCTGAATGTGTCAAATAGGCAGCCTCTCTATCTCTGTGGCTTCAGGGATTTAATGTTTACCTTCCCCTCCTGGGCCACTCTGTATTATGCAAACTTTTTAAATAACATAGGTGCCAGTGGATAAGGAATTTAATTAATGGTGTAATTTTAGAATAAAGAACTGGAAGAGAAACTACGGATCACAACAGAAACACTGAAAAAGAGCAAAGAAGCAGCTGCAGACCAGGATCTGAAGATCCAGAAGCTGGTGAGTACCCTGCATGTTTCACTGACCAGTAACAGATCAGTCTTCAGCATCCCCAGAGACAATCACTTCTCTGTTTTGTTATTGAAGTGTTTTGTTTTCTTGCTGTTTGTCTGCTGAACTCCGGTCGGTGAGTGCATGACACTGCTGCCAAAGGAATAGTGTTCCTCAGCTTGAGAGTGTCTCATGGAATGGTGTCAGATCTTGTCAGAATGATGTCAAAATACCATTCTGTTAATGTGGTTTTCTTTATTCTCTTAAGCAAACTGATCTAGAGGAGGAAAGAAAACAACTGCAGCAACAGATTTTAAGTGAAAAACATCAGTATGATGAGAAAGTTACTGGGCTGGAGTCTCAGATTGCTGCTCTTGAAAAAGCTCAGGAATTGGATAAAACAACAACTCAGCACAGGATTGTAAGTATAGAAACTGTCTGGTGGGTTGTGAGAGTCTTCACAACATGATTTTAACACAGCTTGTAGAGCTTGCTTGTTGTCTGAATGTTTTTATTTAGCACTCCTGGCATTATAATAGAAGATATCATACTTTGAGGCATTAAATATGAGCAAAATGTTAGATGTGTTTAATTGTTTAAACAAAGCATTAGAATAATTGTACTCTGTATTTAAACACTCTTTATTTTACAGAGCCAATTGGAAAAGGAAAATGAAAACCTCAAGGGAAGCAAAGAAGAGTATGAGAGTTCATTAAAACAACAAGAGTGTGAACTGAACAGGCTAAAGGTAAGGGCTGGACTGGTACTGGCATTGTCTTGGGACAGAGCTGAGGCTGGGGAGCAGCAAACACCACTGTGGGTTACATTCAGTGCTTGGAGGCCTCTTCTGTTCAGGTTGCAGGTACTTGGAGCTGCAAATCATCTCTGGTACTCAGCAGAAATGTGTTTGAGAAGCATTACAAAGGGATAGCCCTTTTCTGAACCAGAATGCTTGGGTCTGCCTAAATCAGGCAGAAATAATACATTCCCATATTGTCAGGGATGTGAAGAGCTTGGAAATCCTGTTGGCAGTGGTGAATACAGAATGGTTCAACATCAGATTCCACTCAGAGTGTTCAAACCAAAAAGTTAAAAACTTGCATTAGTTGGGTGTTTACAGTTTATCTAATTTTGACTGTGATTTAGATTAGTTGAAATTTTTTTCATAGTTACTCCTGGATGCACAATTGAAATAAAGATCTGTTGTAGCAAGGAGCTACTTCTTTGTAATAGATACTTCAAGCTGAAAGATCTTGTAAGCATTGGGTTTGTTTGGGTTCTTACATCAGTTCTGTGCTGCTCTTGCATATGCAGAGAGCAGCAGCCAGTAAAACAAACCTAACTCATTTGGAAAATGTAGTGTGTCAGAACACTTTAATTGTAGTCCTAGTAGACTTGGGGTTAAAGATGAGAGACTGACTTGATTTAATTGTCTCACATAACCTCTCAATTAATTATGGTTTGCAGAATGAGATGAGCAGCAGAGAAACTGTCAGTGTGGAAATTGCCAAAGCATTGGAAGAAACAAGGAAACAGAGAGAGGAGTTACAACAGCAGGTTGGTTAATAATGACTGTTTTCAAATGTATTTGAGACATCCCAACCTTTCAAAGAGCAGACTAGGTTTGGATTTATTTATCCTAACATGCAAGACCCTTGGTCAGAATCGTATCCACAGCATGTGAGACAGCAGTGGATCTGGGTTCCTCTGGAGCAGAGCAGTGGTAAAATTGTACATTTCCTCACAGGGAGGAGCTTGTATCCAGTACCAAATGTCAGTTCTAGAAAGTCTTGTTTTGCTCTTCCTGTATAAAAAATAGTGGATGATGTGAGCTTGTGTTTGCTTAAAGCAGGAACTGTCAGCTGAGCGAGTTTGACTGGAGTTAGTCCCATCTTTTGGTTTCTGTATTCTTCTGGGACTGCTGTGGATCTGTGCTTGCTGGGCCAATCTGTGCAGAAGGGGTTTAAGGCCATCTCCTGTTTTGCTCAGGGGCCTTGCAGCTGCCACATGCTGGCTGTGACAATCTGGTGGTGGCACAGAAGCCAGGTGGGGTTTAGCTCTTCCAGCAATGACTTCAGTGCTTGTTCCTGAGGGCAGCATTGTGGAGGTGATGCCTGCTGGGCCTCTGAAGGATCTTTCAACACCCTCTTCCTGTTTTATATCTTGAATGACTTCTGTTGATTGTTTTCCTGCTTTGAAGGTTTCAGATCTGAATACCCTAATAAAGGAGAAAGACCAGCTGATTGATGAAAAATGTGATCTGCTGCTAAAACAGAAGGAAGAACTGAACCAACTCAGTCAAGGTTAGACCAAATGAGTCTACTGCATTCCAAACAATTTAAGTAGAGCCTCTAGTTCTGGCCTTGCCTGGTAGATTGTAATTTTTCTAGATTTCTCTTTCATATTTTATCTTTTAGTACTTTCAAAATGGTTTATTGTTCACTAACAATTGGACAGTCTCTCTTCTGTCTTTCTGTCTGTCCCCTGGCTTTCTGTCTTCATGACAGACCAAATGGATTAGAATCTCCCATCTGATGTGCAGCACTGATACTAAGCAGGTCTCTCCTTTCCCAGACCATGAAGCTGTCTTGCTGCAGGTGCACCAGTTACAGCTGGACATAGAGGCAAGGCAGAGCCAAGCAGTGGAGATAGAGGAAACAGCAAGAAAAGAAATTGATGAGCTGAAGCTGCAGGTACAGGAGTGCCTGTTGGCCAGAGAGCATGAGAAAAACGTGAGTGCAGTTCAAATCCATTCTCTCAGGAAAAGAGGGAAAAGAGGGAGGTGTGCAGGAGCCCCCCAGTTGTGTCCTGCCTGGACAACCAGAAAGAAGTCTGGCTTTCTCCCTGGGGAGTGTTCTTGGGCTGCAAATGTCATGATATCTCTCCATGTTTATTTTTGTAGGTTTTAGAACTGGAGGAATCGACGAGGGCCTTGAACAGTGAGCACTTGCCTTCTCCAGAAAACTCTGTGGTGGAACAGAATGGAGAGGTGGCAGCTGCAGATGTTGTTCAACTTCAGAAGGATAACAGAGAGCTGGAACAGCAAATTGCTGAGAAAAACAAGGTGAACAGAAACAGCTGGTAGTCTTTCCCCTTTTAATTAGGAAGCCAAGTAGCTGGTGCTGCCTCTGCTGCAGCCTTAAAAGGACAGGCCTGTTCCATTTGAATCCACTATGCTGTGAGTGAATGCTTTTCTATGGATTGCACAAGCATTTCCCAACCATGGATAAAAACTGCAGCAAAAGCTGCATGAATCCTGATGTATTTGGGCAGAAAGGTGCACCCAGTGATGCTATTTACAGCTTTCCTGCAGAGCCCTCTGAGTGAATTGGGTTCAGTTCCACAGTGCTGTCACATGAAAGCCCAAGTGTCCTGTCACATGGCTGCTGCTGTGTGCAGCTGGCAAGCCAATGCTCTCGGGTTGCTCCTTCACAGCTGTCAGTGTTGGTCAATTATCATTTCATTCAGTACTTGTTTATCATGGGTTTTTCCAGATACCTGGGGGTCCTGACAGTGAGTACTGTGTTAAACTCTCCTTTGCTGTGCTTACAGATGATAAAGCAACTTCAGCAAAGAATGACAGAACTGAAGAAAACTCTGCAGAAAGAGCTGGTAAGGGTTGTGTGTTTTCAGTCTCTTCAGATGACACTTGCTGGCAGGTACTTGCACTGTTATTCCAAAAGCTTCACTGCTAACTCCCATTGCATCCCTCTGCAATGGTTTATCTCTCCAAGAAAAAAAAAATCGATTTAAAAGAAAATTAACAGAGGTTTTAAAAGTGTTGGTTTTGCTCTGATGTTGAAAATTATTCTGAAGAAAGCCCATGTTTGAAAGGCTCAGAGCAGGTTAGTGATAGGAGAAAATTACCTAGGGATAGCTTCCACCATGGAGCCAATTCTGTGCTGGTTTGGGTAATGTACACAGAATGCTGACATCAGCCAGCTCCTGTCCTGGGTGTAGGGAGAGCTGGAGACACTTCTCTGCTGTGACTCCATGAATGTTGATGCCCAGTTTGTGGGTACAACCCTCTTTAGATATCCTGAACCCAGACCCCTCCCAGTGTCAAGCTAACAGCATCTGCAATGTATTTCTCTTTTTCTTCTGTGGATTTTTTATTTTTCTGTAGAAAATAAGGCCTGACAGTGAGGTACCTGAGCTACGTGCAAATTCTGAAGTGCCTAATGCTTCTGTGACTGTCACCAACAACTCTGACTTGAACGACTCCAGGGAGATAAACTTCGAGTACCTTAAACATGTTGTACTAAAGTTCATGTCCTGCAGGGAGTCTGAGGTAAAGGTGCCACTTACCTTCTCTTTCTACATCTGTCTTTCTCTAGAAATTGCCACCTGTCACATCCTAAGGACACTTCATGCCAATTCCATAATTTTACAATTAAAAAATGTACAGTGGGGGCAATAAAACAAAATAGCTAACAGCAACATGTTTGAAACACAACTCTGTGGTTTCTTTCAGGCATTCCATCTCATTAAAGCTGTGTCTGTGTTACTGAATTTTTCACAAGAGGAAGAAAACATGCTCAAAGAAACTCTGGAGTACAAGGTAAGGTGCCATTAGGTGCCATATGTGGTCTCTAATGAGACAATTAAAATTCCTAGATGCTGGGAGATTAGGAGAAGTGTCTTTTTTCCAAATGTTAGGTAGAATAATGAATGTAATTTATTATTAAAATGTTAGCTGACCGTATGCGTGCCAGGAATTGTCCCTTTCAGTGAGGGACATGGCAGCTTTCTGGTGCTCAGAGGAGCTGGAGCACAGCTTTGCCCAGTGGACTTGATCTGAGGAGAGAAGTTGGGAGCTCCTTGCCCAAACAGAGTCAGTGTTTAACAGCAGAGCCTAACTCTGGGTTTGTCCTTTTGGCACTGGGCTCAGACACCAAGATCTGTGTCTCCTTTCCGTGGGCTGAGATCTGCCTGGCCCTGGCTGTGTGGTGGTTAGGGAATGTTGAACAGTGAGTGCTGCCTCAGCTCCAGGTCCTGCATCATCCCTGCCCACCCAGGGAGTTGGGATGCTCAGTCTGCAGATGAAGAGATTTCCTCACCATCTGGTTCAGGGAACACTGATGCTACACTGACTAAAGGCACCGTGTTTAAATGACTAGAGTTCTAATTTGAAATTATTTTAAAGGAATATATGTAAGTATAATCTTCAGTCATTTTCACCTGTGGCCAGTGGGTGCTGTTCCTTCCAGATCTGATTGTGTGAAGCTGCCTCCCCTTCTTCAGTCTGGAGTCTGGAGCATTCTGAGTTATAAATAGCTCTTTCCATCAAATGATGAGAACATGGCTGTGTTCCATGTTGTTTTATTTTCACACCTCGGCGGTGTGAGCCCTGTGTGATGTGTGCTGTGCTGTTGTGTCCTAGATGTCCTGGTTTGGGTCAAAGCCATCCCCCAAAGGCAGCATCCGCCCGTCTATCTCGAGCCCAAGGACTCTGTGGCCTTAAGGGAACCCGAAGGTGGCAGGCAGTATCCAGGCACTTCTTTCTGTGAAAAGAATGCTGAACACACTGCTCCAGGTGTGTCTTAATCACTGTCATTGCAGTATTTTGTACAAGAACTTCTGGCTCTGTTTACAAAATTAATGCTGTGCAAGGAGACATGTTCACTACAGACTGGAACAGCTCTGGGCTGGAGTCGGGAGCAGCTCCTCGTGCTCAGCACTCGTGGGTCCTGGCACCACAGGGTTCTGAGCACCTCGAGGGCAGCAGGGCTGCCAGCTCAGTCCCTTGGGATGCTGATTCCAGCTGCTGTTCCAGGGTGCTGCAGTCCAGTGACTCTGGGCACAGAAAAGCTGCTTGTCTGGCTGTGGGAAGCCAGCAGTGGAAAATGTGTTGGCAGAAGAGTGTTGAGAGTGGGATGGTTTGCGAAGCCTTTCACAGGACAGGAGCAGGAGCTTTAACCAAAAAAGAACTCTGCCTTGCCTTCTAATACTGACATTAACTAATGGTTGGCATTTTTTCATATCACTGTGTAATTTAAGGTGCATTTATCCTGGCCTGCAGCCCTCAAGGCTGCATGTTGATTATTTAATTTGAGAGCACAACTTTAGAGTTGTCTGATTTTACTTTTCTTAAAGAAAAATAATATTTAAAATGGTCTTAATTATAGTACCTAATCCTCAGTCGCCTTTAAAACTAATCCATTAGCCTGTTCCATGGGTTGTTAGCAGTGGGAAAAGGGGTAGGAAACCATTTAAACTTTTAAAGCTGAGTTCCAGGTATTGTAAATCCACACTGAAAAATACCTTTTATTTTAAAAAAATAAAAATCTAGTTACAAAGGGTGAAGAATGCTGGTACTAAACATTTTGATTCATTTTTTTTCTTCCGAGTCTGCTAGCAACAAATCCTTATAACCAGGATCTGCCTCTTTGGTTGTGGTTTTCTGTACTTCAAATACTGATGCTTAAAAACTGTTATGAATATGTTAACTGTTAACTCCTGACTATTACAGTAAAAGAAATGCTGCTCATGAGGGGTTTGAGGGCAAAATTCAACTCTTAGTGAACAAGTTGTGGTTCCAGCAGCTTGTTTTCCTAATACAATAAGGACAGGGGACCAAGGTGGCACTTCCTCCCTGAAGCACAATTTTGCCCAGAGTTATTAACACCACTGCAAAATCTGGATCCAAATGGGAAGCAGCACTGTGTGATTCCTGAAAACTGAGACCTGTTTCCAAAAATCCACACTTGTATGGAATTCAGTGAGCATGCTGCAGTTCTGGGAATTCTCTTACAAGTTGATGCTTCTGTTAAATATATTCAGGGCAATTCCAGCTTTCTCCAGTGGAGCTCCAGCAGGAGGTGAATGTGCAGATCCAGAGGACCCAGAGCCTGCTGGTCTCCCAGCCAGCCCCACCCCAGACACAGGAGCTCCCAGGGGCTGTCACTGGGCACAGGTGCTGCTCCTCACTTAGAAACAGGTTGGATTTGTCTGAAGTTAAGAAAACCAACAGAATTTTTTGGTACACTAAAGCTTGTCCAAACAGTCTTCAGTAACCAGATTCATGGCACTTCCAGACAGGACAGAGCATGGGAGGGTTCAGCCCTGCTCTGCTGTGAAAATAGACAATCAAAAAGTACATTTATTTCAATTGTTTCTCTAGTGAGATCCAACAGGGTGGAATAACCCTGGGAAGATTTTATTCTCTGAGATCTTTCCCTTTCTGATGTCCCTTTGCCCTGCCCTGTTTCTGTGGGACCAGGGGTCAGGATTCCCTCACCCCCCTGCTCCCTCTGAATGACTGCTGGGTTTATGCTGATCCTGGCTTCAAAGGTTACTGCTGAACAGCAAGGAAAGCAGGACAGGCAGCCTGGAACGGAGTGACAAAGTAAAAGCTTTTGTTATATATTCACTAACAACTTGAGTTTCAGATCCCAAAGCTCATAAAGGATCAACTTACCATAAACTAGTTCTTAAGTGTTGAATTTTCGTTAGGTATCAGAGCAAGACTGGTGTGTATACATGTATTAAAAAGCTAATGCACTTTCCCTTGTCTCAGAACAGTGGTTATACATAATCCTTTCTATCACCATTGGACTTCTTTCCTTCTATGCTGTAAATATGGATTGTATGATGAAACACTATGAAATTTGTGGTGCAATACATTTTGGATCAAACCCCTAATCTTGATTTCTTTCTTTTTATAGTTGTGGTTATCTCCCCTGGGATGCTATAGCTATTTAAAATTGACTTTTAAACCATGACCCAAACCCCACCTTTGCCCAGGGTGAGGATGGGTGTGCCAGCTGTGCCACCAAGGCCTCTCCCAGGGAGCTGTGTCACAATGAGTTGTGCCACTGTGCTTCCAAAATCACCTCCCAGCAGGACTTTGAGCAGCTGATGGAAGCGAGGACTGGGTGGAGCTGGGGCTCCCCAGGCAGCTGCTCCTTGGTGCCAAAGGGCAGGGAGCCCTGCCAGAGGGCCAGGGGACAGCCATGGATCCAGGAGCGTGTCCTGCCTGGCCAGAGGACACCCAAATACTTAAATCATAAGTCCTGAAGCATCTGCTTGACTTTCTAGTGTGGACATGAATATAAAAATCAAACTCAGGGTCCTTACTATGTGTTCTATTCACTGCATCTTCTAAGTCTTGATTGGGACTGCTGAGCTTGGTCTCACTCCCTACAGGCAGGACAGAGCTGGATTTGAGGACAAATTCTCTAAGTTGCTGGAGTTAGGAGCAGTCCTAAAAGGTGGACACTGGCTTGGACTGGGTTATTGCAGGCCTGCATTGGAGTAAGTGTCAGACTTACAATGTAGCTGAAAATAAATTTAACTCGCGTGATCCAAGACCTTTATTGATGCAGCAGGCACTTCACTTTACATGACCCCAAGCCCAGAGTCCAAGAGTCCTTGACCCACACGTTCAGCCGCCGTTCCCAGAGCCCTTCTCCCACCCTCAGCTGCAGGACTCAGCCTGGACACAGCTACCTTGGGACTAAGCAGGACACACGGGAGCTTGCACCACCACACCTGGCTAAAGCAGCATCTGAAATACCTGTTCACTTGCAGTGTAGGAGGCAGGAGTGTGCCTTCTCTCTGCCTGGTAAAGAAGGGAGCAGGAGAATGTCTTGGCTCCTATATGTGATAGTCGGAATATGCAGGAATACCTTTACTCTTCCCCCACCTTTAAGGTTAAAAGCATTCCAAGAGGAGGTTACTGTAGGATTTCAGTAGATTGCAATCTCTAATAAAGATGGACCAGTGTAATTTCAGCTCATTCCTTCTTCTGAGTCCAAACCTGACCGTCACCTCTGTCCACCTCTGCACCTCTGTTAACAGTCTTTACACAGTCTTTCTTGCTGTGAGAACTCTTATTATGGAGCCCAGGCCTCCTACTGCCAGTGCCTGTGGGAAAGGAGAGAGGTTACAGCGTCACCACGCCCCACACAGAGCAACCACCGAAGAGTTCAGCCACAGAAGGGACTCTGGCTCTTCTCCAAAGCTAGAAACTGTCATTCTCCACAGTCTAAGCAGCTTTTGGATCTCCAGTGTTGCAAGTCACTGACAGAGCAGAATGCCCACCTCCCTTATCCCTGAGGAGAGGAGGATGAGGAAGGGCTTGCTTCAGTTTCATTTGTGTCCCTCAATGTGAACAGTGTTTCCTTCTGAAGTCTAGAAGATGGAGGTGATTATGAAAAGAATATTTAAGCTGACTGCTGGAAGTGGGGCATTTACTTTGCAGCCACACTCCAACAGAGCACACGGTATGAGAGCAGAGTGAGACGTGGCACTGGGGAACACGGGACAAGGGCACAGCTGGACAAAGGCACAGCGCCCACCTGGAGCAGGACTGGCAGGTAGATGCTCCTGAGCTCCCAGACCTGCCACAGGCCTTTTCCAGAGGACAGACTGGTGCTACCACTGAGCTGACTCTGCTCTGAGCAAGCCACACATCCTACCAGACTGCCACAAAGCAGAACAGCAGGCTTTAAACCCTGCCTACCCAGACCCGCCTTGTTCCTTTCACAACAGAGAGGACGAGATGCCTTTCATGTCCCTGCATGCTCTGAGGACCAGTCAGGGTGGTGGTGTGTCACCTCCCACGCTGGGAGCACCACCCGCGCTCACCTGAGAGCACCTCAGTGGAAACAACAGGAAAAAAAGAAAAAAAAAAACCAAGTAGAAACATGTTCTTTGCTGTCTCAAGCAATTCCCTCCTCCCTGTCAAGGCTTGGCAAAGCTGGTGACAGCAGCAATAGCTGGAGTCATGGTACACCAGCTTTATGCAGAGCAGGAAAAGCTCTGCACGTTGGGAAAAGGACAGCAGCTGCCCTGCACAGGGAGCTGCAGCATTCCCAGGAATCAGTTTTCCTAGGAGCACTGACAGCCAGGGCTGCAGCTGAAACCCTGCAGTGGGGGCAGATCTCACTCGGATTCTCCCCGGGGGCAGGGGCACCCAGCAGCTGCTTCGGGGATGTGCCTCAGCCACACAGACAGGGAGGGAGGCCCACAGGCAGCTGCTGAACACACCCCATGGCCCCTGTTTCACAGCTGACATTGCACAGAAACACGAGGCCCCTGCTGGTCCCCAGTGCAATCTCTGGAGACCTCAAAATCCTCTCCTGGGCGAACCAAACAGGTTTGCTGAAGCCTGTGACTCAGCTGATGCAAACTGCCAGCCTGAGCCCCCTGAGCTGCGCCCCAGAGGAGGCTGCAGCTGCCCTGTCCCTCCCTGACATCTCAAGGGCAGCTCGAGGTTTCCCCTGCAGGGAGAACTCCCTGCCCTGTCCCCTCTCCCCACGGCAAAGGGTGAGGTTTGAAATACAGCAAAGGCTTTGTGAATGCAGGCTCAGAGAGACCAAAGATGAAAGGAAACACCGAGCTCCTCAGGGATGAGGCCCTGCCACCACCTGCTTCTCTTCTCTCCTGAAAGCACTGGCCAGGACCCTGCGAGCGTGGCTGAGCCAAGAGTGCCCCCAGCACGTACCTTTTCATGCCACTGAAGTAATATTGCACTGCTGTTTTCTGTTGGCTTTTCAAATCCTTTATAAATGTACTTCATTAACAAATCAACACCGTTTCTGTCTAAGGAATTCACCGCTTGTTCTATTTCACTGCTTTTAAAAGATGTGAGGACTTTAAGCATCGTTCCCTGGGCCTGCTCCTGGGAAGACAAGGCAAAGAGAGAAATGTGAGAAGGAGAACAGCTGGGAACGATCCAAGGCTCGCGTTTGGCAAGAGACGGGCGCGCTCCAGGCTGGGTTATTTCTGTAAGGAGGTGAGCAGAGCTGGGGTTAGAGGAGGAAGGGGCAGGCGCGGGGGGATGCCCGTGCCAGCCCGGGCTCACGGAGCGCAGCGGCGCCGCTCGGGTGTGTGCCCGCAGCCCTGCCCGGCCCTACCTTCATCGCCTGGCTCCTGGTGTTGCCCGGGGAGCTGCGGATGGCCGTGTGGAAGGCCCGCAGCGCCTCGCCTGTGCGGCGGCGGTCAAGGACTCAAACCGGGACGTGCGGGACGCGCAGCGCGGCCCCGGCCCCGGCCCGAGCGCGATCGCGGCCGCTGCCCGGCACTCCCGGCCCCCCCGGCCCAAAGGATATTGCCTGAGCAGCGCTTCCACCTCGGGGCTGGCATCGGGCTCGGCCGCCGCCGCCTCCTCGGGCTCCTCCACGAAGCGGTTCTCGTCGTACTGGTCGATGTCGAGGCGGCGGAAGCGGGACGAGAGCGTGCTCCGCGCCATCCCCGCGCCCGGCCCGCGCCCGCCGGAAACGGCGCCGGCCCCGCCGGAAGCGGAACCCGCGCGGCCGCCGCGCCCCGCCCCGGCCCGCGCGCCCCGCCACAAAAACACAACAGAGCCTGGGAAAAATCCGAACAATGACTTTAATGTACAAATCCCGTCGCTGCAGCAGTTCGCGGGTTTAATCGGGATCCCGAGGCAAACGGAACAAACCGGGGACGGGGAACAGCCCTTGGACCGCTTTACTGGGATCCACGGAACACTCGGAAAAGGCTGGCTCGGTCCTGCGCCGCGAGCGCAGCACGGGCAGCCCCGGCCCCGCCGCGCACCGGGCACTGACTTTGCTGCTGAAATCTCTTAAAACTTACCAAAAACAAAAAGCTGAACAAGAGAGCGGCCCGAGCGGCTCCCGCAGCGTGGTGGTTAAAGGAATCGGTTCATCTAACCCAGGACTAGGCGAGGACTACATGCAGTAGTACAAATCTCAAGGACATATTACAAATACTCTGAAATTAATCTAGGGGTGGGGAAAAAAACTTGCTACAGACACCATAATACACAATAAATTTAGATAATTTAAAAATAAAAAAGGCAAGAGGCAGCATTTCAGCAGCAAAGTGCTCAATAAAAAGTATATTGTAAAGGGGCAGGACAGGGAGAGGTGACAGCAGGCGGGCGGGGCTCAGAGGAAGTACGGCGTGGTTGTCCTGGGAGGAATGACACGCTCTGAGTCTGGAACTGCGCGGAATAACTTTGGTTCTCTTGTATTTACATCTTTAAAGACCATGATGGACGCGATGTTCCCGCAGCGGTAGCAGTAGTTGGGGGCTGACCATACCGTTACCAACTTCTCATCAAACATGAATTTGTATCCTTCGTGGACGAGCTGGTGCGCTCTGCAGATCAGCTTCAGGTTGTTGATGTGAACAAACTGCAAGGGAAGGGGGAAGGTGAGCTCAGTGTGGCCCGAGCGCCGCTGCCCCAGCACATGCTGCTCCTGGGCTGGCCCCACAGCAGGACAGAGAGCACAGCAGGACAGAGAGCACAGCAGGACAGAGAGCACAGCAGGGCTGGGCACCCAGCACTGAGACACCCTGGGACGTACAGGTGGGAACAGCTGACACGCAGGCAGCAGGGCTGGGCTGTCCCCAGGCTGAGCCCTTCCTGACCGTGCTGTGCCAGGGCCACAGGACAGCACAGGCTGAGCCTGGCAAGGCCACTGTGTAGAGCCCTGAGGAGTCTGCTCAGTGCAGACACAACAAAATTAACTCAAGAATTGCTTTAAAAAGGGTTTTTTTCTCCTAGATCCTTAGGAAACCATTGCACGCAGAGCCCAGGGACACTAGTGAGTCCCACCACATCACACTTTTCAAAAGTAAGATGGGTATTAGTGCATCTGGCAGTTACATTTGTGCTTTTAGGTTCAAGTGGCTCATTTTTTCCAGCTGGCACAAGCCAAGCTTCTCCACCAGACCACCACGAGTTACTGGCAGAGGTGTGACAGGGCAGTTCAGTGCCCTGCTTTGCCCTTGCTCCACCCAAACCCCACACTGAGCTGAGCCCCTCAGCTCCCAGCCCACGCTGGGCTGTGTGGCCCTGAGCAGGGAGTTACCTCGTTGGTGACCTTGGCCCCGAAGAGCCAGCCTGCCCCACGGGGGCTGATGGCCCACGTGTCCACGTCCTCGGGGTCTGACCACACCAGGTCGCAGAAGGCGCCTTTGTGAGGGATCTCCTGGTTGCGCTCGATGGTCCGGATCTGGTCCAGGGTCTTGATGTCTGGGGAGAGGCCCCCGTGCACACACAGGATCTGCTCGTCTATCAACTGCAGGGGAACGACATGAGCACCTCAGCACGGCTGGCGGGGGAGCCCCAGCTCACAGCTCCCACCAGGACAATGTGTTAGCGTGGTGTTTGCACTTACAGCTGCTATTGTGAGCATGTCAAACACTTTGGTGCAGTATCTCCAGGCGTTCGCGTTCCCGTATTTGGTTTGGCACTCGTCTGTTGGAGAGAACAGTTTTATTCCTTGTGGATCAGAGGAAACAGGCAGAGCAAACACTGACAGCAGAAGCTGCACACCCACACGAGCCCTGCCAGGAGCCCTGTGCTGGGTCCTGCTGCTGGCCAGGACCAGCTCCAGCAGCAGGAGGGACTGAGCACCTCCTGCTCTGCCTGTGCCTGAACGTGGCACCAGAGCACAAGCAGAAACCCCAGGTGCCAGAGGAAAAGAGCAGCAAGATCTGCCTTAAACACATTCCATTTCAGAAACACAGTGACCTTGTTACCAAAGGACAGCCCTGGAGCCCGTGTCCCCCCCACCCCCCTGGGCACCCTTGCCAGGGTTTCCCGAGGCAGAGGAGCTGCAGGCACAGGCAGCACTCACCGTAGAACCCGTACACCTGGGTGATCTGCCTGCTCTCGTGGTTGCCTCGCAGCAGCGTGATACGGTCAGGCCACTTGGCTTTTAGTGCAAGGAGGTACGTGAACGTCTCGAGGCTGTAATACCCCCGGTCTACAAAGTCCCCCTGAAGGTACATGGAGAAAGGGCACAGTGACACATCCGCTCCCCATCCTCCCTGCCGCAAAGGAACCCAGCGCTGGAGGGCACCGGCACCTGCTGGGACCCGCGGCGGCTCCGGGCACTGGAGCGTCAGCTGTGGGCTGGGCACTCCCCTCTCCGCTGTCCTGACGTGACCCCGGGACACGCGGGCAGGGCAGGACGCTCTGCCTCACCCCGCGGGGCTCCCGGCAGTACAACCGGCGGGCGGGAGCCAACACCGGCGCCGGGCGGGGCCCGGGACTCGGGAGCCCCTCGGGGTTTCAGCCCCTGTCAAACCCGGCGGGGCCGCGCCCAGCGCACCTACCATGAAGATGTAGTTGGTGTCGGGGACCTGCCCGCCGGTCCGGAACAGCTCGCACAGGTCATAGAACTGCGGGGGGAGAGAGGCGTGAGGGGCACCGGGCATCGGCACCGACCCCGGCCCGGGGCTGCACCGGGAGCGGCCCGGCCCGGCCTTACCTGCCCGTGGATGTCCCCGCAGACGGTGACGGGCGTAGACACGGGCTGGACGTTGGACTCCTCCAGCAGCAGGTCACAGACATAGTCACAGAGGCGCTGCGGGACGGAGAGGGGCAGGGTCGGGGTCAGCGCCGGGACCACCGGCACCGCCCGCTCCGACCCGCCCGGCAGCGCCCACCCCGGCCCCGGCCCGCCCCGGCCCCGCCGCCGCGGCCGCACCTTGAGGTCGTTCTCGGGCAGGTACTTGCAGAGCCGCGCGATCTCCACGTACTTGTCCAGGTCCAGCGGCGCCATCTTGGCACGGGTCGGGCAGAAGCGGGCCCCCCCCGCCACTTCCGGGCGGCGGAGCGCGCCGCCGGCGCGGGCGGAAGCGCAGGGCACTTCCGGCGGCACTTCCGGCCGGCCGGCCCGGCAGCGGCCCCGCCGCCATGGCGCCGCGGGCGCTGCCGCTGCTGCAGCCGGGGCGGCGGCCGCGCCCGGGACAGTGGTGAGCGCGGCGGGGGCACCGGCGGCACGGCGCTGGGAGGGCGGGGGCGGTGGGGGGATAGGGATGAGCGGGGCGGCGGGACCGGCGGGAGCCCGGGCCGGCCCAGCCCGCGCTGAGCGCCGCCCTCGCCCCGCAGGTACCGGCTGAGCCCGCGCGGGGAGCGGCCCCGCGGCCGCGTGGGACTCGGCTGCCTCCTCCTGCCCGGCCGCGTCCTGCTGCTGGGCGGTGCCGACCCCGCCGGGGCCTTCGCGGACGCGCATTTCGTGGAGCTGGGTGAGGGCCGGGCCGGGCCGGGGACCGGGACCGGGACCGGGAGCGGGACACCGGGACCGATCGCCTGTTCCCGTCCACAGCCCCGCTGCGCTGGGTCCCCGCCGGCTGGCGCGGACTGAGGCCGCGCTACGAGCACGCCACCATGCTGCCCGCCGCTGGCCCCCCGCGCCTCTGGGTGTTCGGCGGAGCGCACCCCGCCGGGAACCGCGGCTGCGTTCAGGTGCTGGACCCCGGTGAGTGCCCCGGGCCGCGGGACGGGCCCGGCCTCCGTGCCCGTGTTGGTTGCTCGGTTAATCAAATGTCTTAACCAGAAATAGGAACGTGGGAGAGCCCTGCAGTGAGGGGGGAGCAGCCGCAGCCTCGGACATTCCACACGTCCTCGGCGGCCATCGGGGCCCGGCTCTTCGTGTTCGGGGGTGGAGACAAGGGAGCGGAGCCGGTGAAGGACCAGCGGCTGCACGTGTTCGACACAGGTACCTCCCGCTGGGGCACGGGAGCGCTGCCTTGGGGTGTAGCCGGAGGGCTGGAATTGCTGAGCTCTGTTTGGAGTTCAGACATGGATGGGTGGCTGTTCCTCTCTTGACAGGCCCTTATGTTCATGTGCTCACTGGGACTTCAGACCCCGGCTTGGATGGGAAGCCTCGGCAGGGCTCTGGGGTTGCTGGTCTGTAGAATTTCCAGTTTTGTTCCTAATGCCCTTGTGCTCCCATTTTTAGCCACCCTGGCCTGGTCCCAGCCAGAGACTCATGGTGATCCCCCTTCCCCTCGGCATGGACACGCTGTGGTTGCAGTTGGGACCAAACTCTTCATCCATGGAGGTTTAGCTGGAGATGTTTTTTACGATGACCTGTTCTGCATTGACACTAGTAAGTGTGGATGGAGGTACTGCAGGGCAGTACCTGTGAGCTGTGCTTTGATTGGGGGGATGTTTTTTCTGAAATACTAGTTCTTAAGTGCTTAAAGTATTACCTTCTTTGTTTAAATCAACAAACTGCGTGGGGTTTGTGTAATGCATAACCCTGGAGGTGTTGTTTCCTGCACCAGATGACATGAGATGGGAGAAGATCCCAGCCACTGGGGATGTCCCTGGAGGAAGGGCATCCCACTCCTCGGCAGCATTCCAGGAGCACGTGTACATTTTTGGTGGAATAGGTCCAGATGGGACACTGGATACTACGTACAAGTATCACACAGGTAGGGAGCTGCTCTCAGGGTGCCAGGGAAGATGCCAGGCAGCTGGGGAGCACATGACCTGCTCAAGCCCTGGAGTTCCAGCACTGCAGGACTGAATGCATGGTGTCACTGCCTGGTGTGTGATGTTTAAGCTGTGACTGTATCTTTGCACTGCAGGAAGGCAGCACTGGACGCTCCTGCAGTTTGAGTCTCCCCTGCCCAGCGGGAGGCTGGACCACGCCATGTGTGTCATTCCCTGGCAGGCTGGGGCACACGGGGACACAGGAGGGACCCCAGCTGGGACAGAGCCCCCTGTGGCAGCAGCTGACAGAGCTGAGCCCCTCCAGCAGGGCCTGCGAGAGGGCCGTGCTGAAGACACCTCTGTCCATCTGCTGTTCGTGTTTGGGGGCATGGACACCCAGGGGCACATTCACAGGGACTGCCTGGTCACCCTCATCGAGTAGAGTCCCCACAGCACCAGCCACAGCCCCTGGGGCTACTTGTGCCCCCTAACCGTGTCCTTACCCTGGGGCAGCTGGCACAGTGCCCCTGGGGGACAGGGGCTCTGCCTGAGCAGGGTCCTGCTGCAGCCCCAGCCCAGGGAACATGGCAGGAGCCAAGGTGTTTTGAGGCACTGCTGGAGCTGGCACCAGACAAGGTCATTCTGGACTTAACTAATCCCATGGATTGGATAAGGATCAGTTAAATAAAGAGACCAAATTTCAATTAGGCTTCTTTTTTTTTCTAAGAACCTTTATTAGGTGTAAACTACTTTTCACTGTTGAGAAAACTGGTCTGTTTCATATGACACTTTATTAAAAGCTCTCAAGTTTTAATACTGCAGGAAAACAATTAAGCCAAGCTCCTCCCTCACTGCTGGGCACCACCACTACAGGGTGCAATGGGCTCTGGTGGATAACCTCCCTCTCCCAGCTCAATAAAAGCTGCCCCTTCAGCAGCTACTCAGGCTTGATCCCCCCTTCCTTATCAGGATCTGTTGTAAAACTGAAGTGAGGTCCAAGTCCACCCTCTCCCTTCAGAAACTGAACCCCAGTTCACCTCAAGGCAACAGAGGCCCAGCTCCTGCTTTCAAACCTCCCACTCTCCAGGAGCCCATGAAAGGTGACCTTGAGGGGGTGAGCTGCACTCCATCCTTCAGGGTTAATCCAGATCCTGGCTGGAGCTGGGTCATGGACATCACAGAACCAGAACAGAGTCCAGTGTAAATAACAAATTTATTGTGGTCACTCCAGGTAGAAAAGCTCTACACCAAGTTCACATGACCAAGTTGTTAAATAGAATGTTCCACTGCCAATACTTCTAAACCCACATTTACACTCCCACCCCGCTCCCCTCCCCAGACATCGAGCAACTGCTAACGAAAAGCAGGATACAGCCACGTCGGGCTAGCGGTTCCAGCTCCACTCACGAGTGAAGATTCAAAGTTACATTCCAAATTAAGAGTTCAATATTTTAAACAAGTGTTCCTGAGTCCAATATATACACACACCACATTCGGGGACACCGGTATCTACAACTCGTCCTTCTCTGCTGCCTCCTCCTCGCTGGGCGGGGGGCCGGCGCTGCCGTACAGCTTGCTCACGATGGGCTGAACCACCTCCTCCAGCTCCTTCTTTTGTGCTTTGAAATCTTCTATGTCCCCATCCTGATGGCTTTCCAGCCACTCGATCTTTTCCTCCACTGCTTTCTCTATTGTTTCCTTGTCCTCAGAGGACAGCTTCCCACCCAACTTCTCCTTGTCCCCAATCTGGTTCTTCAGGGAATAGGCATAGCTTTCCAGCTCATTCCGGGCATCGATGCGCTCCTTCAGCTTCTTGTCTTCCTCGGCAAACTTCTCAGCATCGTTGACCATCCTCTCGATCTCCTCTGGTGTCAGCCTGTTCTGGTCGTTGGTGATGGTGATCTTGTTCTTGTTGCCGGTGCCCTTGTCCTCGGCCGTGACACGGAGGATCCCGTTCACGTCGATCTCAAAGGTGACCTCGATCTGGGGCACGCCACGAGGGGCAGGAGGGATTCCCGTCAGATCAAAGGTGCCCAGGAGATGGTTGTCCTTGGTCAGGGGACGCTCACCTGCAACAAACAACGACACAGGGTTACTTTCTTGCCCAGCTGTGGCCTGTACTTTGTGAAACCGTGAGTGACACAATTCCATGAACAAAGTACCTACAGCCTTTGTGACAATCAGGAACAAGAATGAAAACTCTACAGCACACAGATTCCAGCTGTCACATGGGCCACCGCAGCTGACACCCACCTTCATAGACCTTGATGGTCACAGTTGGCTGGTTGTCAGAAGCTGTGGAGAAGATCTGAGACTTCTTGGTGGGAACAACGGTGTTTCTTGGGATCAGCTTGGTCATGACGCCTCCAACGGTCTCAATGCCAAGAGTCAGGGGACAGACATCGAGCAAGACCAAGTCACCTGGAACAGATCAAAGGCAAGACTGTGACACAACTTCAACACAAATCACAACGCTGCAGACAGGATCCTGAGGCCTCAGGGGCACAGAACTCCAAGGACTGGAAGAGATCCAAGTTTGTCTGCATTTGCTTGTCAATGCCCAACATCCATTGTTGAGTCAACTCTTGGGTGGCAGTGAAGGTGCCATTACCTGTATCCTGGTCCCCAGAGAGCACTCCAGCCTGCACGGCCGCGCCGTAGGCCACAGCCTCGTCTGGGTTAATGCCACGAGAAGGCTCCTTCCCATTGAAGAACTCTTTAACGAGCTGCTGGATCTTGGGGATGCGAGTTGATCCACCAACCAAGACAATCTCATCAATATCAGACTTCTTCAGGTCAGAATCTTCCAGGACTTTCTGAACAGGCTTCATAGTGGAACGGAACAGGTCCTGCAAAGATAAAACCCCAAGGATTGTGAGACTGTATTCCCAACACGCCCCACTGTGCAGCCCCAGGGGTACAAAGTACAACCACTACAGAGCAGAGATGCCAAACTGAGGCCCAGCTCCCTGGCAGGAACAGCTGCCTGCTTACACAGAGTTATTTATACTCCAAAGTGCAGTGTCACAGCATGAGATGCTGCACATTCCCCAGTCCCAATCCAAAGCTGAGGCTGTGTAACTTTACCTTTCTAAACTTACCATGTTCAGCTCCTCAAACTTGGCTCGAGTGAGTGTCTCCGAAAAATCTTCTCCTTCAAAGAAGGACTCTATTTCAATCCTGGCCTGGTGCTGAGATGACAAAGCTCTCTTGGCCTTCTCCACCTCCCGCCTCAGCTTCTGCACAGCTCTGTTATCCTTCCTAACATCTTTGCCAGTTTTCTTCTTGTAGAGCTTGATGAAGTGCTCCATAACACGCTGGTCAAAGTCTTCTCCACCCAGGTGAGTGTCTCCATTAGTAGCCACAACTTCAAAGACTCCATTGTCAATTGTGAGGAGGGACACATCAAAAGTTCCACCGCCCAGGTCGAATACAAGGATGTTCTTCTCTCCCTCTCTCTTGTCCAGTCCATAAGCAATGGCAGCAGCTGTTCTGTAGAGGGAACAGGCTGTCAGGGCTGGGGACCAGCCCACAGCTCCCCTGGGGCAGGACAGGGTGGGCTACTCACGGCTCGTTGATGATGCGCATCACGTTGAGCCCCGCGATGGTGCCCGCGTCCTTGGTGGCCTGGCGCTGGGCATCGTTGAAGTAGGCTGGCACCGTGACAACAGCGTGGGTCACCTGAGCAGGGAGGGACAGCTTTGTTACAGTCTGTGAGCAGCGCTGGAACAAGCAGCCCATCCTCAGAGATGAAGAGCCAGCAGCACTGACTAGTTTGGGATGGCAAGGTCAGTCCTGGCTCAGCCTACCCTTCTCCCATTTCCTAAAGCTGCTAATCCAAGTTGTTACCAGTGTTTCCTGTGCACTTACTTTCTTCCCCAAGTAAGCCTCTGCTGTTTCCTTCATCTTCGTCAGGACCATTGCAGAAATTTCTTCAGGAGCAAATGTTTTTGTCTGTCCACCTCCAACATCAACCTGAATATGGGGCTTGGCTTTCTTCTCAACCACCTGAGGAGAACAAAGGATGCTGTCTCATTCAACCATTCCAAACTGTTCCCATGGTTCTTTCTAAAAATCAAGCCAAAGCTCTATGACAGGCATAACCTGAGTGCAGCTAACTCCAGGAACTGTTGTTTACACACCAATCCTCCCATGGGGCACTGTGAGCAGATGCCTCTTCTGGCCCGAACTGCAGTCCTCCCCTCCAGCCCCCCTGCCTCTGCACTCGGGGCCCACCTTGAAGGGCAGGTACTTGATGTCCTGCTGCACGGAGGGGTCGTTCCACGTGCGGCCGATGAGCCGCTTGGCATCGAATACGGTGTTCTCCGGATTGGACGTGAGCTGGTTCTTGGCAGCATCCCCGATCAGGCGCTCCCCCTCGGGGGTGAAGGCCACGTAGGACGGTGTGATGCGGTTCCCCTGGTCATTGGCGATGATTTCCACGCGTCCGTTCTTGAAGACGCCCACGCTGGGGTTGGGGGGGAACGGAACGGTCAGGCGGGGCCGCG